TCACTTAAAATGGGGTCACATTTCGATATACTCATCATACATGGTATGTGGGAAATCCATTTACTACACCTAATCTAGCTAACACCATACCTTAGTCTCACGGCACGGTGTGAAGTGTCATATCCAAGTCCTCTGTGACCACACAGCTGACTGGAAGCTTCTCTCACTGTTCAGTCTAGCATTAGGTAAAGATTATATGCTGATTTCTAGGTGGGAAAAAGAGCATAAGTTCAAAGTCTTAAGTATAATTTGTGTGGATGCATCACTACATAGTTGAAAAACCAGAAAGTGAACCACCATAGATGAGAGACCCCTTTTTTTCCCATGTTCATGAGGAAAAAAAAAGAATGCAGTAGTTTCATGCAGTTACCCAACTGTCCTGAAGGTGGCAGGGCCCTTGCAAGGGGAGGTCCTGTGGTGTGGACTGTCAAATTAGTCCCAAACTGACAGTTGTGAGCCTGCCATGGGATAGAGAATTAATTCCTGTGGAGTACCTACTATAAGCCAGCAGTGGGCTGTTAGTGCCTCTTCATTAGTTAAGAAAAAGTAGTGTTGGGAAATGGAGCAAGCTGCCCTAAGTCATGTACTTGTTCAAGTGCAGGTCTGTGTGGCTTCTCTATGCCCCTCTGACCTTACTTAACAGTTCTGCAGTCAAGAGTGAAAGCTGTGTCTCTATTGGTTACTTTACCAGACACAGGTAATGTCTGGAAGAGACTCTGGTGAAGCTCTGCCTATGCATAGACCTGACTTCATTGTTTTCCAATTGCGCAGTTTGTTTTTGCTATATTAGATGGTTGCTAAGCAACTGCTCAGTGAGCTGCAATACTGAAATTTATTTTGGAAACTAAGAAAGACCTCCAGAAGTGTGACATGAGCAGGAGTATAGGGTACATGGGTCACCTGGCTCTTGTCCAATAAACAAGCCGTGCAATGGAAGGCCACTTTCTCTTCTCTCTGACACTACTCTTTCGCTTCCCTGGAACCAAATTTTGTCACCTGTAGAAATGTTCACCTTGGTACCACATAGCTTCCAGTGTGTGGTATTCGTGGTGTTACTATTTGAAGCTTAACAAAGGTTGGGTGAAACATTTTTGTTAGTTTTACATAGGAAAAAGTGAGTTTCTGACAGGATCTTCTGGCCTTGGACAGCACAGATATTGCAGCAAATAGCACCCTTAACCTCATCTTAAACCAGTAATAGGACACTGCTCTCAAGTGATCCACACATCAGATGCAAAAACCTGCTAATCATTAAATTTTTTTTCTCCAAGTGATGGGGGATGTATGCTGTGAAAATATGTTTCTCTAATTGGTTTAATAAAATGATAATTGGCCAATAGCCAGGCAGGAAGTGTAGGTGGGGTTACCAGATCAGGAGAATGCTGAGAAGAGAAAAGCAGCAGTCACCAAAGGAGTAACAGGTCTGGGCATTCTCTGGTAAGCCAAGATCACATGGAGACACACAGTTTAATAAAAATGGATTAATTGAGACAGTTAGCCAATAAGAAGCCTAAGCCATCAGCCAAACAGTTTCTAATTAATATAAGCCTCAGTGTTTTTTATATGGGACTGAAAGCCTGTGGGACTGGTTAGCAGAAACCTACATCCAAGCCAGGCAAGTCAATGTAGCTGCCTACGTTCAAAAATGAGAGTGGACTTATTTTGACCTTCTGACTAAACTAAATTCTTAGTGGCTCTCAAAATTCTGGTGTCTAGCAACAATCTAGGTCAGAGGTTATACATTGGTGAGCAGGTGAGAGAGGGCTAATGTTGCCCTGGGATATACTTTGGTTCCATAGCATTAAAAACTCATTTTCAATTACTTGCTCAATATTTAAGATTTTTTATTTTATTTCATGTATTATCAGCAATTTGAACTCACATAAGCATGTGTGTTCTGATGATGTGTGAATCACCCATGGGGTACATTTGAGAGCAGTGTCCTGTTACTGGTTTTAGATGAGGTGAGTTTAAGAGAGGTTCTGCTCTCTGTAGTAATGGATGGCTGTGAACTACTATGTGGATACTGGGAACTGAACATGTGTCTTCTGTAAGAGCAACAAGTGCTCTTAACTGCTGAGCCATCCCTCCAGCTCCCAATTATTTGATAATATTGAAACATTAAAAGGCATGAAAATTCTGATCCCCTGGAAAAGCATAAAGAGCTAGTAACTCCAGTCCTTTTCCAACCGAGAGGTAATTCCTTGCTTGGGCAGATGGCTTTTGCTTAGATAGGCCTATGGACTCCTTTGAATACTACCCTTTCTGGGCAAAGAGAGTGATGGAGTTTGAAGGTCAATCTGCAATATCTCAAAATTCTTGGTGAGATTCACATGGTGACTAAGTAAAACAGCTAGCGGTAGCATATATTGCCTAGCACTGACTATGGTCTCCATCGGCAATTTTAAGTCTTTGTCCAATGACACATAGGGAGGAAACATCAATACCTATTCCTAAGTGCTGTTGTAAAACATGTTGCCCATGAGGTAAAGTTGGAAAATGGGCCACTGAGACTAGATTAGGGCCTGTTTAACTTTCAATTTATTGTGGTAAAGACCCTTGGGTGCCTCTTAGAAAATCTCCGAAGGTGAAAGATGGACAGAACACAGTCCTCCAGCTTCTCTTTTCTCAGTCCAAGCTAAGAAAAGCCCGAGGTATTCCTCCAGTATGTAGCCTAGCATTCTGTTAACTGGCAAAATTGCCAAGCTGACATGGACAAGGCAGAACTGAGAGTCTCTTCTGATCATATGGGGTAGGAAGTGCTTTGTTTTACACACTGGAATTTTGCCACCCAGCTGGAGCTGGACCTGGAGAAAAATTAATGAATGGAGTCAACTTACAGAGTTGGGCAGCCCAGCTCCACCCACTTATGTGATGAAAGGTTATATTACTTGTGCCGTTACCTTTGGTTCCCTGACAGCTGATGGGGCACTTTCATGTTTACTAGGAAGGGACAGAGGTCATGTTATCTCAAACAACACATTGTAATGAAACTCTAATGGGCCAGAGGTGAATACAGATTGCAGGATGCCTTCCCTTGCCGGAGAGGGAAAGCAGGGAGAGGTGTAAATCTCTGTAGATCATATCCTGCTGCAGCAAGAAACCTCAGAGCAGTTAGGCAAGATCTGAGTGAGGGGCCTGTCTGACACTGCTTCAAGTCCTGTGGTTGCAAGTTCTCCAGACTCAAGCCTGCTATTTTGCCTCTCCAAGCCCATGATGTAACCCAGGGCTGCCCCACATGCTTTTGAGGCTTAGTATGTACCTTTTGAAAGGATGAGATGTATAAGCCATCTCTAGGGATATGTGGATCCCAGCAGGCATTATCTTAGACACAGAGGAAATCCATGCCGACAAATGACAGTTGGAAAAGGACCCTTTAATGATGCTATTGGACCAGGTATACCTAGTGACTTTATTTTTCTCCCACATATAAATTCTGGCTGTGTGAATTCTACAGTCCCTTTCAATTGATATTGTTTATGATGTTGCAATAAATGTAATTCCCTACAGAGCCACTCAGACTCATACCAGTGTACTCCTTTGTGCCTTGCTATCTGGGGAGATGTGGAAAAGATCACTGGAAATTCATATTGTGCTGACAATAGGTGTCCTGTGTTATGACTACTCAGCTCCCTCTGCACTATCTACACAAGATAGGCCAACATCTTCCAGTCATGTTCTACAGTTTACCATTTGTAAAATGAAGACAATAATATGGTCCGTGGCAGAGACAATGAGAGGAGGAAACAGAATAAGATCTTACTGTCAATTACTTTCTGGTACCCATCAAGTGCTTCAATACACGTTAGGCATCATTACTACTTACATTTGTTTTAAAAAGCAGACAGTGATCTTTTGAGAATGGTTACAGGAAGCCTGTCAGCTGCAAAATTGGAAGAGAGGCAGGCATTTTGATCAAAAGGGATCTTTGTAGACCAAATTAACATGTCACTATGGAAACTCAGGTCCAATCTATGCATGGGATAAGAGAACTTTGTATGTACCTTCCAAACCTATAGGCAGGAACAATTTCTGGACAGATCCCTGCTCTTTTTTGTGTTGCAGTTGCTCTATGTATAAAAGGCAAGTAGTACTTTGGGGCATATACCCAAAGGAGGCACATTCACACCTCAAGGACATTTGCTCAACTATGTTCATAGCATCATTATTCATAATAGCCAGATCTTGGAAACAACCTAGATGCCCCTCAACCAAAGAATAGATAAAGATAATGTGGTACATTTACACAAACACAATGGAGTACTACTCAGTGCTAAGAAACAATGGCATCCAAAAATTTGTAGGCAAGTGGACAGAACTAGAAAAAAAACATCCTGAGTGAGGTAACCTAGAACCATAAAGATAAATATAGTATGTACGTACTCATAAGTGGATACCAGACATGAAACAAAAGATACACAACCCACAATCCACACCCCCAGAGAAGCTAGAACCCTCTTCCAGAAACAGATGGAAGCAGAGGCAGAAATCCACAACTAACTAATGGGCCAAGCTCCTGGAGTAGAATCGAAGTGAGGGAGGAGTGATAATATGAACAAGACCATGATGGGGAAATCCACAGAATCAGCTGACCCAAGCTAGTGCGAGATCACTGACTCAGGTGTGACATATGGGGAACCTGCATAAGACCAAATTAGACTCCCTTAATACAGGTGACAATAGTGTGACTGGGACAATATATGTGGCCACTGGCAATGGGTCCAAGATCTAACTCTAATGCACAAACAAGATGAGGGAATAAACTTAGCAGACTTCCTAGGGAAGGCCTTACCCTCTCTGAGGAGCAGATGCAAAGTGGGGGATATGGGGGAACTGGGAGAAGAGGAACGAGGGGACTTGGATTGGAATGTAAAAAATAAATTAATAAAAAAGTAAGTGGTAGATTAGACAATGTTCCTGAGGACCTTCAGGTCTAGTTCTTCATTATTCTATGTGGCTGGAAGAGTGGACAGACCAGTCAGGTCCCCTGGGGTCCTTACCTGAGGTACTCATAGAGCCCATACATAGGCAGGAAGTCAATGTCAGATAAGAACATGTACGGTGTGCTGATATGCTTCATAGCCACATTGCGTAGGAGGTTGACAGGATAGAACTGACCCTCCTTGTACACTATGTGGTAGCCCACATTGTGGCGACTCATGAGCACCTCGGATCCCTGGGCGTAGCGGAGGAACTGCTGGGCTTCAGCATCTGACAGGTAGAGGGCCAGGCTGATGGGCCCTTCCCAGTGCTTGCAGATGGCCTCTAGCATCTGGAGTCTAGAAGAGAGAGGAAGAAAGTATCAGCACACTACTTTTGAGCCTTTGTCTCTAACATGTCCTGGTCAATCAGCTGCAAATCCAAATCTCTTGACTAAACATGACTTAATTTCTTACACGAACACCTGCCTGGTTGATTCTAGTCTACCAAGACTCAGATTGATGCTCAGAGGTGCTATAGCTGGGCTGGGTGCACCACTCAAGGTTCATGGAGTGGAAGCAAGGTCCTCTATGAGGAGGTGTTGAAACTCTTCAGAGATGGGACTCAGGGGAAGGTAGCTCAGTCATTTGGGGTGCTATACTTAGAATGGATGAGTGTAGTACTCCTGGGATATTAGTTATTTCCCACCAGTGTGGGCTATTAAAAATTATTTCCTTGGCTTCCTTTCCCAGCAGAGGTCTTCCCTTCTTGTGGAAGTTCAGTGCCTTTCATTTAAGAGACAGGTGAATGTGGGCATAATGGAGCGCACCTTTAATCCTAGCACTTGAGAAGCAGAGACAGGTGGATCTCTGTGAGGTCAAGGCCATCTTGGTCTGCATAGTGAGTTCCAGAGGAAAATAGAGAGATACTTTGTCTCACAAAACTAAATACCCCCCAAAAAAGAACAAGAAGGGAGACAGACAGACCGACAGACAGACAGCAGTGCTCAGTTCCTTTTCTTTATAAAGCTGTTTTACTTCCTGTTTCTTTGTCATGTTTGGCAGCAAAGGGGGGCCCATTGGTCCCAACATTCACATGCATTTCTGCTCCCCTTGTCAAACACTCAGTTTGTCAGAGTCTTGACAGGCTGTTACACTTTGGATTTACAGCTTCTAACACTGTTAAGTAAATAAATATCTTTTTTTATAAGTACTTAGCCTGAGATATTTTGTCACTGGAACAGAGACTATTGCAAAAGAGATGGGCTGAGTGTGTGTGGGCTACAGAACAAGGTCTGAATTCTTCCAGCCCAAACTCCTGTTCTTTCTCAGCAAAGGCTTAAGAAGCTTGTGGGTCTCCTACAGAAATGATGATCTCCAGAAGCTTGATCCCAATGAGCACTCAAACAAGCACTAACATGAGAACTAACTACAATTAATGACACATTCTGGTGTGCTCAGCCCCTTCCAGAACTGTCTCAGCACTTCTGGGCAACTTCCTGTTGAAGTAACTGAGGCTGCAGCTTTGTGAACTTACTGACCTGATATGTATAGACAGGTACCTTAATGAGGTCTTGGAGTGGGTGAGAAAAGAATAAAGTTAGTGTTTGGTGAAGTAACAGGAAAAAACACAGGGACAACAGAAACCCAAGTACCTGGGGTGGTGCCATCTTCAGGATTTTTTTTATCATTTCCTGCTCCTGGAAGTCCTGAGCAACTTTGCAAAGTTAAGCTACGCCTGGGGCCTAAGCATGCCTCCATTCAGGAGACTAAGGCAAGAGAACTGCTGTAAGGTCAAGGCCAGCCTATGGGCTACAACAGCCCAGTCAGTCTGGGCTCTCCTGTGAGATGCTACATCAAAACAAACAAAAAATCAAAACCCAGACCAAACAGAAACAAAAACACAAAACAACTTTACAGAGCTACTGTGAAGATCTGTGGGACAGAGGAGACACACAAAGTCCAGAGAAAGAGCAACAACAACAAAGGTGTCTCCAACATGGATGAGGCAGCAAGAAAGTTTGGTAATCAATCATGAAAATTCTATTTCAAAAACATCAGAACATCACAAGTGCCTGCTGTATAAAGCCTGTGCTAAAGACACAGCAAACACCCATTTCAGTGCTTTTTCCTCTGCCCAGCAAGAGATACCCATGTAATGAGCAGTCTCCAGGTCAGAGTGCCCGTTTTTACCAAGAAATCGATGCTATGCATTTCTATGCTTCCAAACAAAAAGGGAACAGGCACACCTGCCTATGTTCAATGTCTTTCACCCTGGACTTCCAGAGCTTTCTTTCAGTAATTCCATCAGCTGATACTGCCATGATCTGTGGCTTCTTTCACTGGAGAGGATTAAGAGACTCATGCTTATGCTTTCTGTCCCCTGCTAATAATGGCCAAAAAGGACGCTGGATGTATGGACCCTGAACTTGTTCATTTCTGAAGCAGGCTCCTGCTTTTGCCTGGTCCCTGAAGATCTCCTTTGGTGCTTCTGTGGAGTGGAGGGACTCTGATCTCCCATAGAGAACCATGGTTATGAATTCTTTGGGATTTGAAAGCAAAGAGCAAGAGTGATGAACTCCTGCTTAGATAGAGGAGCTGCTGGAGGCATGGGAAGCAGGTGGGTTTGATTCCAGAGAAGATGGCTTAGCTCTGGTTTTGAATCTGCATTTTCCAAGCCAGGGATCAGGCCCCATCTGGCACAGCCTTACTCTAAAGTCCACGAAGGTTTTGGAATGAAAATATAGTCAGAGTACTTAAGGTTCTCAGGAGAAAGATTCTGTTGCTGTGGAAAATTAGCCGAACTGTAAAGGAGATGGGGCCAAATGTTTCCAGGAACTCCAATGAGGAACAAATATAATGGGTCACACTGCCTGCTTCTGGATGATGCTATCACCCAGCCTCTTCTTCCCCAGAGCTGACCTGTCAGCAAACATATGCACACTGATAAACTGAGCTTCCAAGCAAGGACAATGACGGTATAAAATATGATATTGTAATGAACTTCTTACTACCTCCTTCTAGTAAGCTGTCAGCCACATGGAAGCTGTTGCTATATTTGATGTTCATAGTAACTACAAAGTGAAGGACAGGAAGCGACTTCTTTAAACCAAGCTGCTGTAAACTGGAAGTGGGGCTGGCAAGACCCATGCATCTGCTGGGCTCAGCACAGGAATGTAGAGTGGATGGTGGAGTGCTGTTGGTCTCCTCACTGTACGGCAAAGATCCAGTAAGAAGATCCACCTCATCTCCCGTGACTCCCCAGAACGATGTCTGGGTCTGGGTCTCTCCTTTCTTGGTCTTGCTGCTGTTGCTACTGGGTATTTTGTGGTGATTAGGAAAATAATGAGAGGGTGAAGAACAATTCCCCTGGAGAATGTGTGAAAAGATGAAACTAATGGGAATGCTATGGAAACCCATAAAAGTTCCTATGCTTCTTTCACTTCTACTCAGCATAATCTTATGACTACCCAAACTGCTGTTAAAGAAATTACTTTATCTGAACCCAGAATACTTAATGTGTCTTGTTGATTGCATTTTGAGAGGCACTGATCCCAGGAAATATTTCATGGATAGATGATATAGGGAACTCGTTGGTACATTGGCTACAGGAAACTGGAGAACATCTGATTACCCAGAGAAGGCTTAAAGTCTACATTTATGCCTAAAATAGCTCTTGTAAGATCAAAGGGACACAGGAGGTTTATGTATGATTAAACATAGAAAACAATGCTTTATGCTACGTGGGGCAAACACTACATCAGGCCTCTTGAAGAATGAAAGTAACTCTTTTAGATTTGTTTCTTAAGACTGTATGTCTAGGACCTTGTAACCACACAGGATGGCAGGCCAGAATACTATAGTTAGTATAAAAAGATTCAGTTGTTAACCTTAGATCTGTTTCCTACCTGGCATGCCAGGAGGGGTGGTGCTCTTTGAGTGTAGAATTGATGGCCTAGGACTAACTTTGCTCCCCAGAAATGGAAGGAAAAAGTGGATAGAAAGCTTTGTGAACATTAGGGTAAAATCTTGAAAGTTCTTGTGAACTGATTTTATAAAACCCATGTTTTACATACCTTGCTGCACATAATGGTTTCATTATTCGAGGAAAAAACAAAAGAGGTTGTCTCTTAAGAAGACAGAGAGAGTGTTTAATCCATACATCCCAGTGTGCCTTCATTCTCTTGCACTGACACCACACCTCCTCCTTGGGTCTCGGGCAGGCAGCACCTGAACAGAGACTCCACACTCAATTCTATCTGACCCCAAAGTTTGGCCAAAATCCAGGTCACTAGGCAAATGACAGGTGTTAGGATCAGAACCAACAACCCATGTCTTTAGTTTTTCTTGCTTGCTCCCAAAATAAGAATGTTGTGTTAGTTTCCTGTTTTGAGGATATGAATAAATACCTGACAAGAAGAAACTTAAGGGACCCAGGGTTTATTGTGGCTCACATTTTTTTGAAATTATGTAGTTCATCATGGCTGGGAAGTCAAGGAGGCAGGAGTGTAAGGCAGCTGTTATATGATGTCTGTATACAGGAAGCAGAAAGGAGAGAGGAAGTGGGACTGAAGTAGAAAACCTCAACTTCTGCCCCCAGCGACCCTTTTCTCCAGCCTCCTAAAGCTTTCACAACCTGCCAAAACAGCACGGATAGCAGGGACCAAGGGTTTAACCACATGAGAGACTACAGAAGAAATTTTACACTCAAACCACAACAAATGTGCTCTTTTCCTGCTGTCAAGTATTCGCTATTCTTTCCCCTTGCTCTTTGAGTTTTCCACAAAGGTCTGTAGTTCTTTCATGACTGTTGTTCTTTACATCTGGTTCTTTTTTTTTTAAGTCTAAAATGGCTGAGAGACACTTGAGAAGTGCTCAACATCCCTAGCCATCCGGGAAATGCAAATCAAAACAGCTCTGAGATACCATCTTACACCTGTCAGAATGGCTAAAATCAAAAACACCAATGACAGTTTATGCTGGAGAGGATGTGGAGAGAGGGGAACACTCCTCCACTGCTGCTGGGAGTACCAACTCATACACCCACTTTGGAAGTCAGTATGGATATTCTTCAGGAAAATGGAAATCAGTCTACCACAAGACCCAGCAATTCCACTCTTAGGCATATCACACAATAAGAGCATCTGTTCAACTATGTTTATAGCAGTATTATTTGTAATAGCCAGAACCTGGAAGCAACCTAGATGCCTCTGAACTGAAGAGTAGATAGAGTAAATGTGGTACATTTGCACAATGGAGTACTATTCAGCAGGAAAAAAAAACAATGGAATCTTGAAATCTGCAGGCAAATGGATGGCACTAGAAGAAACCATGCTGAGTGAGGTAACTCAATCACAAAA